CGAATGCTATTTTTGTGTGAAAATTTTCGATTTTGTATTTTCCATTTTTAACTTTATTATGCTATAACTTTTTGAAAAATGTATGAATCATTACAATTTTTTTATGAGAAGTAGTATTTATATAGATCTTTCATTCGACATACTGTTTTTTTAAATCGGATCATTTCCCTATATACGAGGGGGGTTTAAATCTAAAAAATGCATATAGAAAGTAGAACTTTTTCAACTAAACTTTAGAAAGTGTTCAGGAAAGTCTGACACTTTTATATATATCTNCACAATTTCATACTAAATTTAAAAACTATAATTAGTATTTATTCATATATTATATTTTAAAATCAAAGAACTACTAATCAGGATATAATTAAAGAAATAAGAGTTCATGTTGCTTTTAAAATATTTCACCAATTTCTCTAAAGGAAACACTATCTACAGATTTGCATCGAAGCGTTTCTTATGATAGTGATTTTAATCACTGTCAGATATCATCTATACTTGTCCCATCTATGCCTCGTCCATACTGTGCCTCGACCCCACTGTGCTACCGTTTTTTTTATATGTGTGACCCTTTACTTGCCCACAGGGGGGGATTTAAAATGACATCTTTTTTACAAAAAATNCTTCAGGGGGGATTCAAAATGACAATTTTTTCAAAAAAAATTTACTTTTTCAACTTAAATTTTGAAAGTGTTCCTGAAAGTCTGACACTTTTATATATATCTTAAATTAAAGCTAATGTAATATACTTTATTATGCAAAAGAAAAAAATCGGAATTTATTTTGTCTTCACGGTGAAAATAGCTACCAAATGCTATTATTGTGTGAAAATTCTCGATTTTATTTTTAACTTTATAATGATATAACTTATTGAAAAGTGTATGGATCAACATAATTTTTTAATGAGAAATAATATTTTTTCGTAATCCCTTTTTCCTTCGACATACTTTATCTTAATCAGGATATTAATAAGGAACTAGCAGATTATGTAGCTTTTGGAATAATTCACCAATTTTTTAAAAATAAATACTATCTAAAGATTTGCATGGAAGCGTTTTTTTTTTATAGTGATTTTAATCACTGTCAGATATCATTATACTTAATCCAACTATGCCACGTCACCACTGTGCCGCGACCCCCCTGTGCTGGGTTTTTTTAATTTTGTATTCTATTAAAATTTTATAGTTTGCTTGTGTGTCAATATTCTTTGGTCTGAGTTGGTATTTTTGAGGGTTGAATAAAATTTTGTATTCAATTGTACTTAATAATATTCTTTATGAAAGATAGATCTTTATGAAATTTCAGTTGAAAAATTAAAATATTTTAGATTTTAATTAATTTTATCGATTTATTATTTAAAGCAAACAAATGAATAAAAATATTTTCTTAGGCAATTTTTGTTATAATTCTGTTTTTCCTTAATTTTTTTTAAACATGAATTTTTGCTGACTAGCGATTGTTTCAGAGTTGTCTGAGGACTAAAACTGTTTTATGTAAACACATATGTGCATTTCTACGCAGAGACAGATTGGGTTGATAAAACCAAGTAAAATGAAAGAATTTCATAATTTATTTATGTACATTTATATAGACCTATGAGTCATAGAACATTATTTTTTAACTCATATTTTTTTAAATATAATTTGTAGGATCATTTCTAAAATTTAAACATTTGGAAGTTATTTCGATTAAGTGACCTACTCAAAGCTCTGCTTACAGACAACCTATGAATTTTTAACTTAATCTTTTAAAACCACAAGATTTTTATTTGTCTTATTTATATTTATATACTCGTAACTGTTAATTTTTAATAAATAGATTTAAATGCCAATCTCTATAAAATGTTTGAATTATGTATTTTATTTGGATTGTAACTTTACTGAAAATTTAATGAGAAATAACTAATAAGTAGCATATGCGAGGATTGATTTATTGGTTTTTAATATATTTATTGAAACTTTAGTGATTGTTCACTAAATTTATCCTTTGATAAATGGTATCATATATACTTAAATAGATTAAATTTTAGAAAATTATTAAACTAAGACTGGTCAATAACTTTTAAATCAGTTAAACAGGAGTTACAACAATTTTTAAATTCAGACTGAAAGATCCTGGTTTTATTATTTTTATCATTAAGCATCACATTACGATGTTCTTATTTAAACAAGAAAACTATGTATGCTGCTATTATAAAAATTAAGTTGGTACCCATATAATGAATAAGGGTTGATCTAAAATTATTTAACCAATTATAAATGGATATAAATAGTACTTACTATAGAAAAAAAGTACTCAAAATTATTATTAATTTAAAAGTAATCTAGTGGTTAACGATAAATCAACTGTACATTATTCTGTATAGTATAGAGCATAGTTATAATTGTGGAAAACGTTACATAGAATTCCTAAAATTTTGCCCCAGCGAACTGCTAAATATCTTTTTACATAGTATAGATATATTTATTAGCCATTAATAAAATTATGACTATTCAATTTGGAGTAATTTTTAACTGTTGATAAATAGTGATACTAATGAAAATTAATCCCCACTTGTTACAATAATTGCTTGAAAATAAAAAGTATATTTTATTTGATTTAAATAAACGTAATTGAAGGCAATAGTTAACCAACGCTATTTTTTTAATGATCTTTAGATGTTTTAAATTTTTAAACATTTTATCAAAAATTAATGTATAATTTTTTCATAAAAAGTTATTAAAGTAGAAAACTATTTTCGAGGAAAGGAGTATGTTCAATTTTTTTCACTCTAAATAATGTATTTATGTAATTATACTTACATATTTTCTGAAATTTAAAGGTCCTTAAAGTTTTCGTTAATTACGACAATGGTATAGAAAATTGTTTTATATCATTGTTCAACTTAGCAATGTTTGATGTTGAGATGGAATTATTTTAGTTATAAGTTTATTATTTTTTATATGTTTTACTATTTTACTGCGCATATCATATACAGAATGATTCTTTTGTCGTAAACCAATTATTTAACGAAAAAATAAAAATAGCATTGTAAATTTTTGTTTTGTTTATTTTAGTGAGATGATTCTTTCAATTTATTAATCATGAAATATTTTTTATGTTTATGCCTTAAAGAGTAACAACTTAATTTTTCAAATGGCAACATACCTAATTAAGTAGCTTTTTTATTATATTGTGATATAATTAATAAAATGTTGGTGGATAGCGAACTTTGATAAAATATTTCGGAATATATTAACACTTAAATTTATAGATTTGAGGTGAAATGAGGGTTATATTATTTTTATCTTACCAAATCACTCTGTCATGTTCCCCTTTCTTCTTAGATATAAAAATGTGTGTTATTAACTTTCTAAGTACTGATTAAAAAGTTGTTATCGACTAGTCATTTTTTAAATTAGATCATAATCTAATTGATAAACGAGTTAATTATGTTTGTTCCTATTTAAAAAAATTAAGTGGCTTTCCTTATATGTTCTGAAATTATAATACTACTGATGGCCCTGTATAAGTTGTAATTTATTTTGTCCGAGACCCTACCAAAGCTTGTGTCATCACTGGCTTCAAATATAATTAATAGTAGATTGTTAAAAAAATTTGTCTTCATTGTAAATTTTAATAACAAAATTAACAATGAAATATGATTTAGAGTTTCAACTTAATTAATAAAAATTTTAATTCGTATAATTTGAAGTAACAAATATTTTTTATACGATAGATGTATACATTGTATTTATTATTTTAGTTGTATATTATACAGGGAAATATAACAGATTGTCTAATTTATCTATATATTTGTATTAAACTGTATATTATCTGTTATATATGCTTTCTTTGTTTCAAAAGTCAAACAGAAGCTCTCGAGTGTAAATAAAAATCTATTTTAGTTCTACATATTTAGGTTGGTGTAATTTGTATTATATTTTATTTTTATTCTTACTAAATTATCTTAATTTTCATAATTCATTGTTAATACTATTAAAAAGGACAAAAGTATAATCTTATTTTTTTACCTTATTTGTAGTAGATGACATTCCCATATATTTCATGTTAAAATAATTATTACTGTCAAACAAATAATTGCCTAGTATGGATATAGTTAATAATTTCTTCGAATGTATTAAAAAATGATACTACAGCATTATTTTCCTAGCAAAGAAAAAAAAATGCAAGAGAAAATTTCATTTTATAACCTTACTAAGCACATATTAATACAATAATAATTCAATTATCTAGTTTATTCTTCATTAATTTGTTTTCATATATTAAATATATTATTATTATTATAGTTATAATATAATTTATATATGTGTCTTTTAGGAAATTATTTCTCAGCGCACTACTCCTCAATCTCTTTTGGAGTTTCAGGACAGGATTCGCTCATTAAGCTCAATAGATGCTTCTTTAGGTGTGCAAATTTCCAATAATTGTATAATCAAACAAGAACCAGGAATAAATCAAGACTCAAATTCTGTAATGACTAATTCATCATCTCCGTCGGTATTAAGAAAAGTACCATCACTTAGTGACTTATCATCTCAATCTTCAGACAATGATTATTCAACTGATATGGGTGAGATAATTTTAGAAAAAAAATTAATTTTTTTAACTGCATTCTGTTATTTAACTTCAAATGTTCGTGACTTAATTAAGGTGAAAATTTTATATCAATGACTCTGCAATCTATCGGATAAAAAAAACGGTGTTGATGATTGCTGCATTTACTAACACATAGATAGCGCTAGCATTTTAAGTAATCAAATTACAAATAATTAAGTGTCAAATTATGTTCAGTTTAATAGATGATAAATTCATAATAAAAATGATATCACTTAATATTATCTAGGCTGATTAAAATAAAAATTTATTTAACTTTTAATTAATTCAATTTAGTGTCAAGTTATTATGCACGAGTATTGATATAACAGAAGATAGTTGAATAATAAAAGTGCATCAATATTTTAATCAACAGGTTATATCTATATTATTATTTAATTTATAAAATAAATTATTGTTATTTTTAAAAAAAGGTAATCCTTAATTTAGCTGTTTCTTTTAATTACTTCATCAAATATTATTTATAAAATTAAAATTGAAAATACCAAGTACTTAGAAGATACAGATATATATACATAACTGTTTATTGTGTAGTTTACCGTATTTTTTAGAGTACAGGAAAAATCTGTCATTTTAATTGTAATAAAAATTAATAGGAAATTTTAATGTTAATTATTGTAGTAATTTAAATTAAATTTAAAATTAAAATTTTTTGTTTTAATTAATTTAATTATAATTAATTCTCTAATAATATGAAAATTTTGCAACATTATTTTATCTTAGTGAATATAAATTTGTATAACAAAGTGGAAATGTCATTATATTGAGGCACCTAAAGCTAAAGGCATGGACGGCTGGAACCGAGCAGGAGGCGCCATTGCACTATCTGGAATTTTTTTTGTTTCATTAACAATAAAACATGTAATCCTGGCTACTAAATCTGTTAATTTTCATTTGAGGTTTTGTCAATTTAAATGTATTGTGGTCAACTGTGTGTGTTATTAACAAAATTTTAAAAACCAGAAAAGTAATTTCGGGATTTTATGTAATAGGTATATTGATTGATGTTAGGCCGTAATTAGAGTTATAGTGGACACATATAAAAGTAAATTTAGGGGAGGGTAAGACAATTTTTTTTTTTAATTAAATAGAATATTATATAATATATATTTTTATGAATTCATTTTTTCTTGCTTATAATACTTCTAAAAATACCATTTTTAGTAAAAAATTTTGGTTTTCTTATAAAGTTTGGGTTGGGTTTACGCCTTATTAGCGTATGGGTTGTGGAAATTGCCTCCATGACTTTAACTGTTGTCGATCATCTGAGAAATTTTATCATTTCAATTCAGTGTGTTTCGAGAACGGACGTAAATTAGATATTATATAATTAATAATCCTCTATGATTTTTAGTTCTTTCACGAGAGCACTAAAACTATTCTTTTGCAAAAAAGTAGTTGTTTTATTATTTAGTTTTACACTTTTTAATTTTAATTTATTATTTTCACTTTGAACTTTAACACTCAAATTTATGATTTTTGGAAATCGCCTAAAAATTCTCATCATAGCTTTACAAAAATTTGTCTTTAGAAGAGAATTTAATTAATTGTTTGAATTTTCTGAGGTTTAATACTTTTAAAAAAATTATTCTTAAAATATTTATTGTATGTTTGGGTTTTTTCTCGTCATATAATAGTTATGAAATGTATATTTAATATCCACCCTAAATTATATCTCTAAAATTGTCTACTACTGTAATTATTTTCTTTCGACCCCATATACCTCAGAATTATTTATTAAAATTTCCTAGATTTTTGTTAGATTTAATGTTAATTTATTAATTAACCAAAATTATTGTATAGTTAACATATAAATATATAAAAAGGTTGGGTTGGGTTTGATTGATTAATTGATTGATGTTGTAATCATACAAATTTTGTAAAAATAGTATGGCTAATTGAGTTTTTAGAACTACACTTAACTACAGAGTGTAATAAAACTTCTGTGTTTAAAACATTCAAAACGTCAATGAACTTATAAAAATACATGAAAAGTTTTTTTTAAAAAATGGCTACTTCTTTAGTATAAAAAATCAGCATTATTATTCACTTAAAATTTGAATGTTACATATAACGTCATTTATTAGATGTTCCCACGGTAAGTGCACCTGTCTGACTATTATACCACCTAAACACCGTTCCCCGTTCCTCTCATTGTAATTATGTTCGAACTAACTCACTTTTATTACAGCACTAGAGTGCACACCTATAGATTAATATCTGTATTGTTTTTTGGCCGTCGTCCATGCGATTTCATCGACGATTAATGGTTACCGAGTACTGTTGCGGTCTAATGGTCACTCTGACTTAGATACAACACATGGTGATTTTAATATAATGTTATTATTTTACATTTACTTGTTAACTTTCATGGATAAGTTGACATAATTTGGAACTACGTCAAGTGTTTAAGAGTAAAATTTTTTGCTTAATCAAATTTATTCCAAATCGTATTAACGACACGTTTTAATAAATGTATTCACTTAAAAAATAATGTTTTTCTTAGAAAAACATTTCTCTACCTTAAATTTTTGATTTGGTTAATTCGGATGGTTACACTAATAACTCGTTAATTAAAAAAAAAAAATCAAAATTTAAAGAGCTAGTTTGGATTTTTAAAATAATTTTGTTTTTTGTTATATGAAAGGAATTTTGAGAAATATTAGAAAGTTGTTTAGTTGGATATGAATAGTTGAATGGTTGATTTGTTAACATTTAAAAAAAATACTAGTTTTTATCAGGGAAAATTTTCGAATGAAGAGGGTAGAAAGTCCCAAGATCAATTCACTACTGTGCGGTTACTTATGATTATTCTAAAATCAGAATAATTATCACTTAATGTACTTGTAAACGATTAAACTTACAAACAAGGACAAAAAATATATTTTTTAATATTTGTCCGTTAAACGACCCCAAGCATTGAAGGGGTTGGGTTTTTCAGGGTAAGGAGAAAATACAATTAGCATTCTGAAAAATGTTATTCTAATAAGAGCCTATGGGCTTCGCAGAGAAAAAAATATAAATAAATGATTTTGGTCGTTTTATGTATTATTCATAAATTTCTTAGATAAAACCCAAAACTAACTTGAAAGAAAAATAGAATAATTTTTTTGTAAATGATTCCATTTTGACTCGAACGACTTGAAAATAGTTATAAATTATGTTTAAGTGTGTTATTTTAATGTCAACATATAATGCAAATGTGTAGTTTTGTAAAAGTGAACATTTTACTCGCATTAACCTTTAGCCCTTTATATATGCGCCACCTGTTATTTTTCTACTGGACAACGTTATGAACATTCACTGATGCGTGTTTATGTAATATTTTTAAGTAGTAAGCGTTACCACCGTGTGAATGTGGGGAGTTGATGGCGTTCCATTTAATTCGTTTATAGGGTGTCGTTTCTCCGGTGTATACGTAAAATTAATTAATATTTAGCGTATCTTTTATAGACAACATATGTGGGGTTTTTGCTAGACGATAGTTAACAGGAGCAGTAGAATTCCCACAGTTAATAAATAATTTCATATATATTTACGTAGATATGTATGTATAGGTTATGATATCGAATGAGCTAATGCTCGGCGGCAGAAATAAAAACGTTTTGTGTCTTATTATTAGCGTCAATAATTTGAAATTCAGAAAAGAACGTATGCAATTTGTTTGTCGTCTTGAACATGAAATAAAAAAAAAATCATGTATCTTCGTCACGACGTAAATTATATTTTATTCTGTTAAAGTTTTTAAACGGCTTTAAAGTTACACCGTAGTTTTATTTTTGACTGAGGTATTGACCCGGAAATCAAGACCTCAAGTGTCATAATGCATATTTATGTATGAATATTATGTGTACGTCTGTATATATATATGAGGTACACGTAATCACGAGTGTTATTAGTAATCTAAAATGGTCTGATGAATTTAATTAAAATTAAAAATTTTAAGGTTATGCGCGCTCCCTTGGCGTGCTTAAAACGATTCTGTACTGTGTAAAGATCGTCGGGGTCATTGTGTAAACACTAATATTATACTTGTTACTAGTAAATGTTATAATGTCTACATCAACAGCCTGCTGGCTTTAATATTATTTATTGTCCCTTGTGTGTATTAATCACAGTGTGTGGGTCGTGACCCGCATCCAAAATTACTCCTCATGGTAGTCGGGTATTTAGCTCAATTTACTTGTTAATCGATTTTAATCCTCGCGCACTACCGTCGTGTGTTGAGTATCGTGTGTAATTTGTATAAATTGACGCGATGCTGGACGATAAAACGGCGGGGCTACGAGAGAACCATAAACCAAATACCAAAATCCGCGGGGAAATCGTTGTTTTCGGTAACGGCGCAGGTAGATCCTACCGAACAGCGATTGTGCGTGAATCACGGTGCAGCCCACCTGTTTGATCCGTCCACGCCCCGTCCAATCGAAACACGCTGAAAAAGTATTGAGAACAACGAATACATTTGGAAAATTCTACGGTGGCTCTTGATTGAAATAATGTTCCATGATATCTTGATGAACGCGATGCTGCGCGAGAACATCAATTTCGGCTTAAAAGTTACCCCTGACTTCTTGTAGTCCGAAACATTACCCTGATGTGTGAAGGCCACCTAATATTCAGATACAAAATGTACTCGGATTGTTTACCGAGTTTTGAATTGAGATAGCATTTCATAAAAAATAACGCGCATATTTTACTGCGCCCGTTATTTATAATTTTTTTCGACTTGACTGCTAGGGGAATTTAAATATGTAAATAGCAAGTGAGGTCTTTCTAATCATTTAACGAGCTAACAAAAGCAAGTTTAATTGAATGTTTGCTTATGTGTATACTTGAAATTTTTATTACCGAGTGCTCGTGTTATTAATCTGAAGAGCTAACGAATTACACGACTGATATTATAATAACAAATTCAAGGTCAAATTTCACTGGCTAAACCGTCGTCGGACAATGACTGAATGGTTTTTTATTTGTAATAAATTTCTTTACGCGAATTATATATGTCTCATTATTCATAATTGTTTGTAAAATAAATTGTTTCAATTTTATGTTTATTAGATCAAGTTTCTGCTCATTTATTATCATCATCATCATCGTCGACGGTCGCTGGGACTCATCCGAACAATAACAGTAATCAACAGCAACTAGTACCGCCCGTTCCTCTTACTCCAGGAGTCCCTTTAACTCCCCTGACACCAGGCACAAACAGGACCATGACCGAGGCTTTACAGGCTACTTTCGCTCAATGGGAACGCGAGCGAAATCGTCTTCGGGTGCCTAAAGGTATATAACTATTTTTCTGTGTAATTAATTCTCCATCTTGAGACAAATAAAACGATAATTTGAACATTTTACCGGTAGAAAGAAACGAACTAGTCGTATCCTAACCTCGCTGAAGTATAAACATAGTTGGTTTGAGATACCTTGAAAATGACTACGGTGTATTATGTAATCTATGAACCGTTTGGTCTCGGTTTGTAGAACTTTGAGTGTTAAAGTAAAATAAAATGTTTTCTTGTACGGCGCATTGGAAATTCTCACGGTTTGCAAGTGTCTGATGTTGGCTGATGTTAAATAAAATAAATGAAAAAGTAAACGATTAATAAATGCCAAGGGAGGCCAAAACTTCAATGTTAAACTTGGAAAAATATTTCTTTTAAATATTGAGTAACAATGTGGATTGTACTCAAATGGACAATTATCTGTTTATAGGTATATTTGGGTGCAGCAATTACTAATATAGGTGTGAATACAAATATGTTTATACAGTGATGACTGCAGTGACGGCTGCGTGTGTGTACGGTTAATTAGTCGTATACGGCTATGACCGTGTGAACTGCAGGCATGAGTGTATTTTGTTTTTAACGCAGTAATCGACGGCATAGTTGGTTTTTCCCACGGTCGGGTAATGGTCAATAGTCGATGTCACCGCAAAACGCAATTTTAGATTCGGCATGACTTAAATGTATGTGTATTTTTGACGAGAAGATTCTGATGGTACTACATAATAGTTATCTTCGTTTCACGTGTGGCGGTAAAAAAAAAAACAATAGGAAATTATCCGCTATACATTCTTGTGGAATAAACAAAAGTAATGTAACTGCGTGTATGAAATAAATTTGCTTTCAAGAAGTTCTATTCAAATTGCGACGGGTCTTTACATAACGTTTGGGGGAAAGCGTGACGACGGGCGGCTGTGCACCACATACTGTTGTACAATATTGTAGAAAATATGTTATAAACAAGTTACGTATGCCGCTTGTGCGATAGCAAATTTGAACTTACTCATACAATACCTCATAATGTTGTTTTAGAATGGAAATATTTCATTATCTTATCTCTTATTAATTATTACTGTATTTCTAATATTATCTCTTTTCGCTTTTTTTCGGATTTCATACATAATACGTTTTAATTAAACGAGAAATTTTTGTTTTCATAATAATTAATTGTTTTTTTGTTTCCAGATCCTCGTCAGTGGACTGCTGCGCACACTGCTCAATGGTTTCGGTGGGCTTATCGTGAATTCGCCGTGTCCGACGAACCTTTGACACCTTTGTTGAGAAGGCTCGGAGGATCGTTTTTTGCTATGCCTCCGCAAAAAGCCCGTCTGGGGCAGCAACAGCGTAGCCAACAACGAATTCGACAGAGACCCAGACGTCGGCTCAGGAGCAACAGCAGTGTGTACACCAGCGATAGTGAAAATGAAGACGCTACATCAGCTTCAACCGAAGACATTAAACAAGAAGAAATGGGCGACGATGATGTGCTCGTGGATGATCTCAAGAAAAAAACTCAGTTGTATTGCAAGTTGGGCGAAGAGCTGTTGGCAATGGGCCGTGAACGTTTTGTGTCCGAGGCACCGCCGTACCTCGGCGATATTTTATGGGAACATTTAGAACAAATGACCAGGGGTAAGAGTATTTTACATTTAATTAATATCAATTAAGGAATGACGACGTGAATTCTCGTAAAATCGCGACCCATTAGGATTTAATTTGACGTGTAATGAGTATAATAATCATAATTAAAATGCTCGATATATTTAATTTGCTAGCAGATATTCTCATAATGTCGATTAACTCGACTGTTCCTATGACACGCCGGTAGATTTTTATGAACAAATATCGACAATGATTCTCTGGAATATAAAATATTGAACTTGTAAAAACAAATGGTTCTTAAAAATTAGTCTTATAATTTCTATCGGAGTTTATTGAATTTTGGAAAAAAAAAAAAATAAATTATCTGTTGTTTTTATACGTATACATTTATTTTACTGAGATATTTAAATACATTATCGAAAAAAATGACTATTACTCGTATTATTACCCAGCAATATCAAGTTGAACTGCACCGTACAAATCCTTTGGTATAATTCAGTTACTAACAATATGACGATTGTTATCGAAATACCTTTTGTCCGGTCTACCGTAGTTCCTGTGTGCGCTGTGTCGTATTCATAACGGACTATACTTACGAACTTGCTATTGTTTTATTTTGATATTTCAAATAAATTGTTTAAAAGTAAAAAATAGACACATTCGGATTATACATTTATCTTGAATTGTGTAATTTTCATAGGCTATCATATCGAAACGTACGTTTTAACATCACCCACGTGAAATTCTCGGAAACCAATTATATACATAGTGTATGTTAATAAAAACGTTGTATGTGTCAAGTCACGAAAAAACGGTCAGTGTTATCTGTGCGAGATACACTCACTATCTCTGTTAAAACGAGATTGGCCGCTATTGCACAGTACTGATAAAAACGCACAATACACGAACGACACATTTTAAAATCGCCATAATGCACAAGTTATGGTTTTTTAATTTTTACTGTTTCTGGAAAATCGAAATAAAACTGCAACCGCACTGTTGAAAACGTGAAACTGTACTGACACATACCGATCATTTATTCGGCATATTGAAAACAGGAAAACTGTATAAGCAGGATATCCTTTGGCCGAGCCAGCCTTGGCCTCGGTCAAAGGATATCCTGCTACCCGGTGCGATTTATACGTCACGATCACCTCAATGTTTACATTCAAAGGATATCCTGCTCTCATCCCGTTTTTGGTCTGGCCGTGGTGACGTATAACTTAGGATAAATTACCTACGTCATAATCCTTCCCGATAGATTCTCGTGACGTATTCCAGGATTTCCCATGACCCCTACAGTCAAATAAACACAGTGGCCTATCAAAGAGTGACCCTTAACATACACGCGTATTTGTGTTGGCAAATAATTAACGGCCTCGTGTTTATCTTACATGATCGTTTTTCGTTTAGAAGTCGACCGACCTACGACAACTGCCAGTTTCGTCAATCCCGGAGCGCAAGGCGTACCGGCAAATGGAGTTTATGGAGACTTCTCTGCCATCAAACCCGAAGGAGGTTACCCGCCATATACCGAGAGGATTCGACTTCAACAACCCCCCGGCAGGAGAGGCGTCCGAAACCAACAGAACCGCGTCAATCTGTACAGATGCGGTAGTCAGAATGTCACCGGTAAGTTATTAAACGCGCATGAATAACATTTTACACGGCGAAATGAAAAGCGTGTCGGGGTGCCTGTTTCACCCACTACACTATTAAATCGACGTGCGTTTAATAAGCACCGTATTATAGTGTACTACTCGAACGATTAAGTGCACAATAGTAATAACATGCCCATCGTTTATGATATTAAATTGGGTCACAGCTGAAGCTCCCGCGGTCCGAGTACACTAATATTGTCTATCTGTTGTCTACAAACTTTACCTTTTGCCTCCCGCTGGCTTTATTATACATATTACAGCTGATCAAAATATTTACCCCCACAGCCCCCGCGGAGCCCCGCGGGAGTCCGCCGCTTAATAAAAAAACACCCTGTTACCTGCGCAACGCACCGTATGAATTGAGTAATACACTGGCTGGAACATCAAAGCACTTGATATTCATTGTACTGTGTTGTGGGACCGTTTATATTTTAATCGTCGGTTTCCAGAAGAAGTCTCCGCTTGCCGAAGAGTTTTTTAAAATTTTAATAATTGTCCGAAAATTCAATTCTAACAATTAATTAAATGCGGCGGTTTCTTTTTTTTTACAACTGCGCTAGTGTCTATTAAAATGTTTATTATCGGTGTACTTGTCAAACCATAGACATTATTTGTTACATTGTGTTCAAGCACTTATTCTTAAAAGTACATTTACATCACAAGGTTCGGTATATATTTTAATTTATCTTAAAATTCAACACCCCCTAGACACATGATGAATAGAGTACGATTTTTACTGGGGTATTTGAAAGAGCGTGTTGCCGCCTATCTGTACATACTACCGGTAGTTCCGGTTATGCGTCTTAAAGAAATCTATAAGCAGCTGCTTTCTTCCAGGTGGCTGGCTGGCTCGCGCGCGCTAGTGCTAAAAAACTACGTATGAATGGTAAAACATTCACCGTAGTGAATAGGGGTAGTAAAGGTACGCCTTTCGTCTCAAGTTTCGTCGAAGTTTATTATGCAGTGGGTATATGGAAAAGAATAGGCACGGGCTAAAAGAATTGCGCGCGTGCAATAAAACTACAAATACACGCCCACCGCAGTGGTGCCCTGTAAAGGTCGTACATCCGGTTATCCTCCTTGTCCTTGCTGTCTAGGCAAAGTCTATTGAACGTCGAAGTAACACGAAACTCGGAGGAAACAATCCTGAGCGGTATACTTCGATGTAGGATTTGTATTAAAAATATGTGTTGTTTTACTACGGGTGTTGTATTTAAAGAGCCGCCGTGTCTGTTAATTACAATTTTACATTGTGAAAACACCAATTTCGCTGTTTTTTTTTCTCTTTGATTGCTATTTTGACGTTTTGTGTTGCGTTAACTTTTCGCAATAGATTTGTAAATAGAAAATCATTAACTCCAGAGCAATCAACCCAACAATCAATTGTTTTTACTTCCTGTTGTTTCTCTTGTTTTTTCTAAGGTTTTTTGTCGGCCTTACAAAAAGAACTCCAATGGAATAAAAGGTATTTATTTAATCCTGTCGACCGCTGTTTGAGATGTCTGAGATTTTCAAGTGCGGGGGTTGGTTATTGAAAACATTTGTTAAGAACACGAGGTCTACTTAATTTGTAATAGCGTTAAATTTACTGATTTACAATAGTTTATGCTCTGTGTTTATTTCATTTATAAAAAGATTCTAAGCTAAAGATATTATTATGAGAATTACATTGAATAAAAATTTTAATGGTTATATAAAATGACGGAAAATTGTCCGCTACATCAAAGTTTTACTGGTTATCATTTATAATTCTCTGTTTACTGTAAACGCGTCTCTTCGTCAATTATCTCCTTATTATACGGTTAAATTTCTCACATTATTTTTAATTTAATCATTTTGAATGTTAATAAAACTTTTGTTAGCAAATAAGTCAATGCGAACGTTTTTTAGTTGATAGTTTTTAGCCCAAGTGATACGAAAAATAGAGCTTCGATTAATTTTCATTTTTTTTCCCTTGCCCATATTACCAGGAAGGGTTTGTTTGTTTGATTAAGGCTGTTTTTTTTTTTTATAATATATTGTCGTGCTGGCAGAGCGGTAGAGTTGTTTTGTAGTGAGTTGTGTCTGAGGAAAAATGTTAATTTATGATTAATTTAAAATCATGTTTTTATTCATCTATTGTAATTAATGTGAATTTTACTCTTTGTTTGATTTGAAATAAATTTTTTAGGTATTCACGGTTTTGTCAGATTTTTTTAACAATAGGTTACTTAGTCATAATTTTAAGTGTATTAATATTTATGCAGAACGTATTGTGTTTAAATAGTTTTCGAACGTCATAAGAAAATTCTATGATTTTCCACGAGAAAATTATTTGTACGTCGTCCAAGTTGTGTGTTATCGAACCAGTGCTGCAACTGGTTTGTGTCCAGAACAGTTAAATTATTCATTGTCTATTCGCTGTTACGATGATTTGAATATCCGAACTACATTCATTATTTTGTACACGAGACCCCTTTAAAAAAAGGCGGGGGACCAACGACGACCAAGTCCGTTTTGCTCGATACCCAACCTCGCAGGTAATTTAGCTGGGCCGTGGTGGGGGAACAGCAGAGGACGCTGCCGACGCTGTCGCGTATTCAACACACACACATATCAAAGACGTAACTAGTAGACTCCCTGCAGCCCGTGTGTGTGGAATACAATTTCCGTCGCAGGCAATATCGTGTATTCTCATCGCCACTTCCGGCCGTGTGTTTCAGAATTTAAAGTGTCTCGAATTCGATTTTGTGCGCGTTTCGTCTGATTGTTTTATTTTCGAATTTCTACATTTTTTTGCGTCTGGTAAAATCGCTCATCAACTTTTTGAACAAAGCCTCGTTTTATATGTCCTGTCCGTACTGGAGTAATGATGGTACTCTTACAGCAGCAACATAGAAACCAGCTCCAGGCCAACACGCTGGATAATTTGGAAAGTTCGCAGGCCAATTCGGCAGGATATTTCGATTTGGTTGTTGCTGCGGCGGCAGCCAGTCGTCTAACGACAACTACTTCCAGTTCGGTGTATCAACATCAACAGTACAACAATAACTACCAAAATAATAACAACTTGGAAGTAGAAGATAGAGGACGGCGGTTGTATTACGTTAACAAAAATAACAATTGCAACGGTAATTAAAAAACGTATCTTGTTAAAGTTGTATTTAAGTTCGTTCCTAAGACGGTCGAATGCATTTTTTTCATATCGACGATTTTCATTTAAAAAAAGTATCTTCAGTCTCTGTGTTTTAGACTAGAGTGTTTTTCTCCGTTTTTACCAAAGAAATCGTGTTTGTTTACACTTGTATTTTTGCAGTAAATTCAACAATAATAGCTTGTACCTGTGTAGCCGCTAGCTGTGAACCGTTTCACTTTTTTAATGTTCGCGTAAAATGACAATGTGTTACACACATAACGCTGTTTCTGTCCAACACCGGCAGCAGCCGGCTCAATTTAATCGAAATTGTGGCGGTTATATTGTTGTATAAGTTTTTATGCGCCAAGACAGTTATATCTAGAAGACGGCTGGCTCGTGCCCGATCCTAGGCCACCTGTTCTCTATAACGTCTGTTGCCGCTCGTATATATTATTATGTAGTAGCAGCTATAGACCACCTGTTGTTGAACGGCGGCTGCCCGTAGCTCTCTCGGTTCGATTTCTGTCCAAGTGGTCTTTGCTCAACTTTGAAATTGCAATATTGTATAAACTGTAGTTTCTCCATCGTCCGACTAGATGTTTTGGTCGCGAGTGTAGAACTACTACAAGAGTAGTTTATTGAAACCGATTTCTCGGGTTAGTCGCGCTTTTGTGTCGTCGTTGAAGTTTAAGATGTGTTCTGCAGTAAGTAGAACTAGGGTAATTCTTTGTCGTGCTAGTGTGGACTGGGGTTGTTTGGACACCGAGGGGTTTCCGTTGCGTCGGCGGAAACGGAGGAAGCCACAGGTGCTGCCAAAATGCATATGGGGATGTGACGGGCTCTGAGGACGTGTTTACCCTAGCCAGACTATCTACCCGCGTACACCTAATTTTGTTGTGTAGTTACTTTATGGTTTACACAGACACGTGAAAGTAATTCTTGAATAGCACTCGTACTTAATGCACCACAATTTCATATTAGATCGACGCACGTTTTTAGCTTCGAGTATTCTAGTCGACGAATTCATGTGAATTTTGGCTTGTCGACTATCTATACCGAGCGTAAATTGTATGAAATTACTCTCTATCTAGCAACTATAAAATTTATGTGTGTGTGTTTTTTTTTTAAGTAATTTTAATGTCTGAAATGCCCACTGTGATCCAGACGAACATCCTGTAACGTAAGAACAGCGTCGTTCATACGAACCGGGCACGTGTCCTCCTCACTCATTGGACACCTGCTGCCATGGTGTTGGCGGGCTATTTGTTGGCTCCTGTACAACCAAACGGCAATTAATACCGATCGAGGGACAACAATAGTAATTTCCGTAACGTCTTTTCTCCCTTTCATTCCACTCGAAACTCGATGTAAAATAACTCTTACGGGAGTTGATGGGCGAATTTCTATGTTTTTTATTTGCTTTTCAGTAGATACATACGCGTATGCATTGCTCGAAATATCGGTTGCGGTGTCGTCGTAGTTATCTCTATTCGTGTAAATTGTGAACCGGTTAACTTAAATTAAGTACCCGACGGGTTTACATCTAATTCCATTGTCCAATAGCGCAATATTCAAATTAAAAGCGGTCATTTTATCACCTTGACTTATCGTTCTTTCCAAGTACCTAGTAGTATACCGCTTAGGTGTATTATTATTATTTATTTACGTTGAACATCCTCTCTAAAACCCATTGATTATTCTTTAGAGGACACCAGCAATATTATCTCCGGTGTTAGATACGAAATATAATAATTTTAACGACAACACAAAAATTAATTAACGATAACACGCGGTAAAATAATCGATATTACTTTGTCGATAAAATAAATTTACTCGTAGTTTATTTTGTATATTTACTACTAATTATAGTTTACCTTAATAACCTCGATTGTTTGGTACTATAGCAAATGTGACAATTTTGAAGATACAAAGAAAAAAAAAAACGCTACTTCAATAACGCCAGCCGTATTCATTATATTCGTATTTTATAATTATTAAATATATATTATATATATATATATATGTGTGTGTATTATTATAACGTGTTCAAGACGTTACATAAATATTAAATACAATATCGTTTTGATATTCACCACCTGATGGTGAGCCAGTGTGCACACGTGTTAAGTGTCTATAACGCGTGGCGCACGTACATGTTTTTTATTCTCGTCACTTGGCTTTGTTAATTGATGATGATGTATACGGTAAAAAGGTGTTATTCTTTGCAAAATCTTTGCAACGCACTTTTTGATTATTTAATTGGAAAATCATTTTTGACTTGATACGATTAAAATGTCGGTGCTCACGGCTGAGATTCTACAAGTTATTACAGTATGTAATTTAAAAACGTAAAATATTTATTTTTGGTGTCTGTACAATTACATTATATGGAATGTTCAGTAAGTAAGGAAATTGGTTTCTACCATTTAATCGTTTGTAACAATTCACCTGTTTCCTTACTTACCGAACATTCTGTATATGTCTGATTATTATTTGCATGTATAGAATTATGTATCTGTTGTGCGCTGTATGGAGAGAAATAATTTCATTGGTAGAATAAACGATACATTAACAGTGTTATCAAAAACTACTAATTGTGATGAGGTAGTAGCTGAATTTTAAATTTTTGTATAATTTGATTATTTGAAAATCACACTAGTACATAATGACAAATGTGCGATGTACTCGTGTATTGTTTAAAAGTATATATTATATCTACAACAGAAGAGCACTGTTAGTTCGATTAGTTCAAGAAAATTGTTAGTTAAATTAATAAAGTACTTTCAAAATATTCTAAATTATAATTACAGTTTTGTGCATTATAATTAATATATTGTAATCATCATTTTATGCAAAACAGTTATCTGTAAAAAATACCATCAAAGTTACTGAAAACTATCTATCCATTGAAAAAACTTCTTCATTGTAATCGATCATACAGTCAACACACAAATCATGCCACTTCCCCTGTTTATCACCAAAACATGCCAATCAGCAATTGGGTCCACTATTTGTTCACATCTTTTCTGATTTCTGATTTCCCATCTTAATCGTGGCCGCCCCTAAGGTCTCTTTCCTCGCGGAGTCCCACATTGAATCATTTGAACTAAAATTCGCTCTTTTTTCCATGTCTGTTCTACTCATTGGAGTCTCTCTTTTTTTTTGTTCCCTAATTATGTTACAGCATTTGGTACAACTGTTTTAACGCTTAACTTTTTCAAACGGAAAAATACAATTATTTATAATAATAATAATTAATATATTAAATACTTCTGGAAATGGTGGAAAATTTTTTTAAATATTGAAATTGTTTAAACTCTGTACGGGATCTTTTTAATACATTCAATAGAAATTTGTAGTTATGATCATAACTGTATAGTATTTATTAATAATTTTGTCTTATTAAATAGAATTTATAATCTTTGTGCGTATGTCACATAGCATTCGAAAAAACGACAAATTTTTATGCCATAAATATCTCATAATCTAAACATGCTATTTAGTTGGGTGTAATTATCAACTATAATGTTTTAATTATACTTTAAATACTAAGTTGAGCGTAATGTTTTATTAAAAATGGAAAAAATTTAGGTTATATTCCGAAGAATAATTACTTACAAATGTTCCATTTGTAAAACTTGATATACATTTTTTTAGAAAGTATTAAATGTTAAAGTATGCGTTTTTTGAAATAAAACTGACTTTTTGATGAAATAAATAAAAAGCTAGAGTAAATCCTACTTGCTACAAGCTATTTAATTTCGTGTAAACTAATTAATGATCATCTCTACTTTTATTGTAATTAATAAAAGTTCACAAGTTTTGTGTTGAAATTGTTATAAATGATATTAGATAAATATTTTCTGACTGTACATTTGATCAATTATAAGTATTTTTTAGTTAGTATTTCAATTTTGGAAGTTAGTTTCATAAGAGAATACTTTTGTTATCAGTCTAAATTTATAGGGCGTCCCATCGAAATATTTTCGTTGATTTAATACGAACTTGATCGAGACGAGAAAATTAAGTATTGCGATCATCATCTCATTCGCAAGAAAAACGTTCATAATTTTGAAAATTGTCTCAACGATCATGTGCCTCAGCAGAGTAAATGCGAAATGAGCCGAGTTTAATAAGACGGGCGTTGCGTAACATTTAATATCTTTTCTAATTATCTATTGTTTTTGTTTTACATCTGTCAAAATAACTGCACCTAAACGTCACACGTTCGATCCAAGAGAGTATTCTCAAATGTCATAAAATGGGTACACGATGGCCCCCCGTCGATGTACTCTTGTGGGCGGCGCCCGGGCGTCCACGACCCGTTCACCAATCACTGACTCGGTTCCGTCTGTATACGTTCAGTGTATCATGTTATTCTCTGTGACCCACCTCGGTTGCTCGGTCTCCCCTTCGGGACAACGGCGGCGGTGAACTTCCTGTTGTCGTTATTTCATTACGTTGATGACGCCGTTTAACCTGAGGACCAATTCCTCGACCTAGCCGATTTACCGCACCCAACAGTTGTCGTCCCTCTTCATTTCCAACTCCAATTTATGCATATCTGTACGTTTACGCGTATACGTACCGATAGACATGTATAACAATGACTGGGTAGAATATTTAAATACATTTCGACGGAATAAAAAAACCGGCACTACGGTCCAACGAGCTTGACTACAAAAGCGCACAGCCGTGAAATAAAGAGATTTCCATCTATTTGATTATTATTGTTATTATTATTATTATTATTATTTTTTTAAATAATGGAAATAATAATACTGTATAGTGATTTTCTCCCGACGCCATTTTGAGATCAGAGATTGAGAAATCCGCAGTGGCAATAACACGGTCCACCGACTGTGTTCATTTGTGTAAACGTTTTTCGCAAATGTTTAATTAATATACAATACAATCAATTAATTGATGCGCACTGACTGAAGTCCATTGTAGTGTACTATAGCTAACGAGTATGGCATAATAACACTTTTAACGGACTCGTCGGGTGAGTTCATTTTGCTGTAATAATAACACAGTGCAAATGTTTTAGGTACTGTTCGCTATTGTACCGAAAGTCGATTCCTTTTAAAGTGGAACACTTAATTTGCATGTTTTTCGTATAAAGTGTAGGAAACTGAATTTTACAAGAATATAATAGATTACATAGTTTTTACGCGCCTTTAAATTGAAAATGAGTTAATATTTAAACGTTATGATTTTTTCTTACGAATTTTTTTATTTCCAGCACCACAACAAGCGACCACTCCACCAGCGGCAGCTGTGGCCAACCGAGGATCCGCAACTCCTGAGGACATCCGAATGGTTTCTGAAAATCCTTGTACTATAGACCCTAGCGCATCGCCCGCGTCTACAGATCTCTATAGTCAACAGTCAGCACCACAACTTATGCAGAATCACAGATATCAACAACAGCAGAGGGATCAATATCAACATAGGGCTCGTAAGTAAATTTTGATTTAAATTGATATTTTAACCTTGTAAGGCTATTTTCAATAAGCAATGTATATTGTATATATTATATTATAAGATCAAAGATTTTATGAATATTATTTTAAACTTGAAGTAGGTTTTGTATAAGAAAGTTTTTAATATTTATTCCTGATATAACGAAATTGAACCGTGTTTTCGGTTAAAATCTCGAAATATTCGTTGCTTCATTCATTTATTTGAATTAGGTAGTCATATTCCTTTATAAGTACCCACATGTCTGTATCGTATTTACGTTGCGCGTGATACATTACTAAAAACTTTTGTATCAACATTATTGTTAATTTTATTCAACTTATAAATCATAAATTCTGGCAAAATTGTTTTTCTAAACAATTTGTTTTTTAATCTACGTGTCAAGTTATTCGTCACTCATCAAATTTAATCATAAGATATTCTGGTTATGAGCGTTTACTTTTCTGCAACAACATCCCGCCCTCATGTTATTGCGAACAATTAAATTTTTTTTTTAAAAATCCATAGACATCTGAAAACTGAACTAAGGAAAAAATAATTTTATCTGAATACATGTGTGTTATTACCTACACACTATTTTGTTACCTATAATAAACTAACAACCCATTGTCCTACAGTTTTTATAGCTCATCAGAGTCACGGTTCAGTGCGGTACATTAAATCGTATAATCTCCCTCCATCGAAATAGATGTTCATTCCTAATTCTATGGTTCTTTGTTAACTATACAACGCCCATCTTATATAGTCATGAAATGTAATGAAAAATGGCTGCTAGTAGTTGTTTAAAACTTCATTTTAAATTTTTGTATAAATTTAAACACTACGAATAGAAGAGGAACGAATATGCTTCGAAACAAAATAATAATTGACAAATCGTTATTGTTCTTATGATTTCTTTCATATGTCTTATAATTTTTGAAAACTTATTTTTTCTACTAAATAGTTATATTTGAAGCGTGACAGGGCCAATTGATCTAAGCACCAAAAAATTTTTTTTCGGGAAATCGATAAAAACCATTTTTCCACGAGGAGCCATATTTATCTGGGTACTTGTTTTTTATAATAAATATATAGTTATTGAAGTTGATTTTTTTCACAGTATTCACGTGGATATACAGACAAATTTCATATAATAAAAATTGTTTTTGAATTTTCTATACTTGGATCACTTGGTTCTGCCACGTCTCATTTGTAAGAATTTTTTCGAATTATTTGATATTTTTCTTCCCAATAACTGATTATTTCATGTGCTATACTGTATTATTGATTTAATAATAGCAGTATAAAAATTTGAAAACTTGGGTAATAATTTTAAGATTTTTGTTTTCATCTGTTATTAAGAATTAAGAATTTATTTTTTTATATTAAAAATGTTCGTTATTATTCATACTTTATTTTAATAAGTCTGAAACAATAAGTAGTTTTAAATTCCTTTAATCGGAGTCTGGTTAAAATGCATATCACTTATAGGAAACATCATAGCAATGTTTTGTCTTCATTAAGTCTGGTCTGACGTTTTACGAACTTAATAAAAACAAAAAACTGTTGAGTTTAGATAAGTTATTCATAAAGAAGTCGATATAGAACTTTTTTTAGAGGTATTTAATTAAAAACGAAAATAATATTTATGTATTGTAGCTATTATTGGCATAGTTGAGGTTTTAAGATGCTCATATCGATCATTAATATCCCAAGGTGGGTGAACAATTTTTGTTTTATGCGTTGTTAAAAACAAAATTTAGACTTTATTATTAGACTTGAAAAATTTTTATACACATTTTTTGTATGTATATATTTTTTTTGTACTCAAAAGATCAACTGAAAACATTCTTGGATTCATTATGATAAATGACATTTAAAAAATTATTTTTTAGCTATATACACCTTGTTTGGTTAATCATTTTTTGAAAATATTTTTTATTTAAATAAAATAATGAAATCATATTTTGTCAAATATGTTTAATTTGATGCTATCAATTTAACATCTATTATATTAATTTGTATTAGTATCATTTCATATAAGTTTTAAGTTATAATGATTTATATTTTCTTTTAGATCAACAACAACAACAGCAGCAGCGATACACAATGGATAGTTTTCATGGAGATTCATACTCGAGTAGTAGTCCTTACCATATGGATCCTGCTGTTGGAGCTTCTCCATATTTAGCTGCTCCTCCACAAACTGTTCCCAATGGTAATTCTCAAAATACTGTAATGGTAGACCATTGGGCTGTTGCAGCAGCTGCTGCTGCTGCAAATGGACCTGCAGATTCCTCAAATACAGTTCATTTGCAACATTTCATGCAACAACAATACCTCCAATATAATAATAATCACCAAATTCATTACAATAATCAACCACATCAGCAAACACAACAACAACAGCATCAAAATCACATCTTAAGTATGGGAACGAACAATGGAAATTTAATGCAGCAGGATATAAAACCTCAAGTCGGCCAAACCTCAGGTCCACTGATTACTAATGGATACACTCCAAGTAAGTTATCATGAATGATTTTATATAAGTGAATGTAATATACAAAATATTATTATATTATATTCATTAAATAAAGGACTTATTAATGAATTTTTTTTGTTTTTTATTTTTTTAGGCGGAGGACCATGTTTTACTGGAAGTGGACCTATCCAATTATGGCAATTCCTTTTAGAACTGTTAACAGATAGACAATGTCGGGCCTTTATTTCATGGACCGGTGGTGATGACTGGGAATTTAAATTAACTGATCCTGATGAAGTTGCACGTCGTTGGGGTGTACGTAAAAATAAACCAAAAATGAATTATGAAAAACTTAGTAGAGGTTTACGCTACTATTATGATAAGAATATCATACATAAGACTGCTGGAAAAAGATATGTTTACAAATTTGTATGTGATCTTGAATCTTTGTTAGGGTAAGTTTAATTGAGTATAATGTAATATAATAGCTTGATCTTTTATTTAAAATTTCAAACTTACATGTACATGTATATATCTCTTAATATCGCATATTCTATTTCATTCTAGAGCTATGGAAAAAAAATGTATGCCACTAAATTAAAACTCTTTATTTTTTTTTTTTAAATAAGTTTGTACTAGAATTTTCATTAAATTTAATGGTTTTCCTTTTTATTTAGGTATAGTGCTCGGCAATTACATGCTCTCGTTGAACCAGAATGTGGCACTAAAGATCATGATGAATAACAAATCAACACCACCAGTATATACGAAATTGTGCATAAATTTTCTATATATCATTAATGATATGAAGACTGAGCCCTGTCCAACAATCTTAACTTTTAAAGTTATTATATTTATTATTTCTACAAAAATTGAGACAGTAATCTAAAGTTCTCGTGATAGTTGCTGTGTATACCAATTTATTATTTTATTTATAGTTTATACAATTTCTATGTAAATATACATTTTATATTGAATGATTACGTTGAGAGCTTATTGTACAAAAAATACCGAATTTTTATATTAATAATGATTGAGAAGCTTATTTATGACATTAATTTTTAATATTAATATGTTATGATTGATAATTTATAATATTTTAAATTTGATGGTTATATATAAGTATCTACAGATTTAATATTTTTATGTGTATATGTCGAGTATATATATATATATCATTTTACGTGAAAATCAAGAATATTACATTTATTTAATTTTAAAAGTTTATTGTTTAAATTATTATTTGTATATATATTAATTTACCCTACATGATTTTTCTTTGAATTAAAAAAATCTTTTATGTATATATTTATAAATTATTAAGACTGTTGGTAATTTTACAAAAAAATAAAACACCAATATTTATAACCCATTGCATTATTTGATGTATAAATATTTGTAAAAAATATCTTTCAAAAATAAAACTTAAAAATAAACATAATTTTTTATGAAAACTAGAAATTTTAAAGTAAAAATCTACAATTTATCGTATTTGGGTGTTATGAAAAATAATTTTGGTGGTTTTCAAACATGAAGTAAAACCATATTTTAAAACCAATTCTTTATTTACTATCATGTTAAAGTACAAAGGTTTTCCGGAACATTGTAAATAAATAAAAAACTTGTTATTTGTACACATGATCCTTTATTAAAACTTATTAGAACTGGGGTTAAAGTCATATTACTTTTTACCATATCCCATGATTTCATATTTACTGTCAATATTAAACTTATATGCAATCAATTTTTAAAACCTTGTATTCCAATTAATAAAAAAATTTTCCCTTGATACTTTTTTTTACCAAAATATTATATGCCTTATTTTCATCATAAGTAAAAGCTTTTAAAATGCAAGTATCAAATAATTTTCATTAGTTTTTTTCATAAACTGATTTTCAGTTTTTTTTCTTTATTTTAATGTACTATGCTGAATGTTAAACTTAAATACATATATATCTTCGTTGTTCAGTTTTGAGTATTTCAATCTTATTTTAAGATTAGATTCATTAATCAATTATGCGCCAGAAAAGTCAATCCAATACATTACCGTTAAAGAAAATTGTTTAAAAAACATAAATTACTGTAATTGATATAAGGAAGCTTATTAGTTTGTTTAAATAGATTATCGAATGACCAAGCTTTTGAAGAACTTAATCAAAGTTTGGTTAGCTTAGAGAATAATATAACTAGTTTTAAAAGTACAACTGACCTATTAACAATAGATTTAGTTAAAATTGAAAAATGTTTAATAAATAAAAATGCTGATATAAAACAATTAAATGATTAAATAGACTTTAGAATTTTAGAATTGTGAGATTCCGAATAATCTAATTTTAGAAACTGTAAATGATTCTAAGGAAGACTCTAAATAAAAAAATATTATTTTGTTTAAGGTTCTTAATACTGTCAATAAACACAATAGGACACAATTAATATTATGAACAGTATTATTCAGTTTATGAATCTGAAAATCAGGCTAAAACTATTAAAAGATTAGAGATTCGTATTTATATAATAGTCCTCGTCCTATTGTAATCATTATGAACAAGAAATCATGAATTAACTACTATGAAAACTAAAAAAGTTTTACGTAATAATGAGAAGATGAAAAAGTTTCTGTAAGTATGGAACTACTTCTAACCATAGAAGTATTATGAAAAACTTATGTATTATGTATTATGTTTAAAACTCAACTACAAAATAGCTAATGGTAATAGCTCTTGAAATATCAAATATTTTAAAGGAAATTCATTAATAAGAATTTGTTTTTAGGTCATAGCAACATTTTTACTTTATGGTACTACAAGTCCAAGTTTTGTAGATATGCACTTGTCAATGAATAAAATAGGAAGGTCTAAAGAATGTGTTGTATATTATACAGATAGAAATATCACAAAAGAATATTTTGAATACGTATTTGCGGTAGCGAGAATATTCTCCTGTGAATTATTACGGGAGTATATATTATACAATAAAACAAATAAAAAATATAACTAAGCTATTTCTTTAAGTGTTTTTAATCAAATTAAAAAAATATTTGAATTAATTAATTAATTTATATATCTTAATACTACCTTAAGACACTATTTTATTGAGACGACAATAAATCTATTAAGTTAGATAATTAATTTTACTCATTTGATTTTTATCTTATTTGGGTTCAATAATTTCAATGAATATCAATGTACCATCATTGTAGTCATCCCTCGTGAGATGAAATTTTGGTAGTCATATTTGAAATTATTTTACAATATGTTTTTTTTGTGATTGACATTTATTTTCTCAGCTCTAACTTGACCTACTTTTTTTTATGATATGTCAAATGATTACAATTTGTATCTAGTTGAAGATATTACCGTCAAAAATTATTACCCCTGAAAAAAATTCTAATTTATCAATTAAACAGTTACTTATCCCATTTTTCTCCATATAATCAATTAAAATTATTAATTTCTAATGTTTTTAAAGTATTTACTGTCGAATTTGATTTGATATGGTAATAAGTTTCAACTACAAATTTAATAATTTCTCTTTGTAATGTATTAATTTTTTTACTTTATTTGTGTGTATTACTACCAGTCTATAATATTCCAAATTTTATGGTAATATGTTGCTTTAAAAATTATTCCTAAAAAACATAATTTCAATTTTCTATTTAATGATGACAATTTGAGCTAAAAATCACAGCAACAAATTCAACTATTTTTTATTATAAACCTTCAGAAAAATCAACTTTGAATGATCAAAAGAATACGTTAAAAATAATATTTTGCACAGATTATTTTTTAACATATATAAAATCAAAATCAGTTATAATTTAAAAACAATTTTTTTATATTGAAATACTCATTTTTTAATAATTAGTATTAATATCAAAACTTAGAAGTGATAGTAAAAGTCTTATTTCAGATTTGAAAACAGTGTAAAAAGTTGATATAGAAAAGTATATTTTGATTCTTATGAAAGTTTCTTGTAGATTAATGTATTCATTCATAAGTAAAAAAAAAATTTTATTATAAAATATTTCATCAAGCCCTTTTTTATACATGTTTGTTATAAAAGTAACGAAATATACTACTTTATGATTTTTTATTATTTCTCCATACAAATTACAATATTAAACTAGTTAATATTAATTTCATACTATATTTAATCGCTAAAACAAATATTTATTCATAAATTATATTTATATATTATAAAACTGATAATCAGGATATAATTAAGGAACCTGGAATTGATGTTGCTTTCGGAATAATTCAATAATTCCTTATAAAATTTAAACAATATCTACAGATTTGCATCGAAAGGTTTCTTATAATAATGATTTTATCACTGTCAGATATCATCTATACTTGTCCCAACTATCCCATGTTCATACTGTGCCATGACCACACTATGCTACGGTTTTTTATACAATAATTTTTTAGTTTTTGTAAAAGATATACTTTTTTTCGCATATATCATAGGCGTAATTAAAAGAAGCTTGATAGATGTAAAATTTCTGAAAAATTATATATACGATTATATAAAAAAGAATTTAGGGAAACAAAAAATTACAAATAATAAGTGCTTCCAAAAAATTTATTGAAATGTGGACATGGCTTTTATAATAAATTTTATTTATACGCCAATTTAACTCTTTTAGGTAGCATTATTACTCCTACATATTTTCTTGGTTTTGTTGCCTTGTTAGATAGTGGTTAGCAAACTTGTATTTATCCATGCGGTCCTGTTGAGAGTTTCATATACAAATTCATAGGCATTGTAGCACATATTCACCTCATTAAACCATTAGGGTGTTCCTGATTTTTAAAATGTTGGATATAACCAAAAAGTTACATGAAGCACGAAATAAATATGACCCGTGCTGAACGGCAACTGACGAGGGAAATAATAACCTCAAATGGCATAAGATGGGCAGTTTTAGAAATACACGACGTAACGAAATATTTCCTGCACTTTTACTAGAGGGGTTAGATCGAATCGTCCTCTATCCCTGTACATATTTAGAGCATTTATAGCCTACGGTTATCAACCTCAAAGCTAACAAAACGTCAAGGTGGTGATTATACCTAAACCTAACCATACTAATATAAAGCAAATCCTACAGACCAATAATTTTCACTTCATTTCTTCTTAAGACTACGGAGAAACTTATTGATAGGTATATAAAATGGAGAACCATCTATATAAAAATAACATACAAATTTAACAGGGAAATCTACTGACACAGCTCTATATAACTTAACCACCAAAATGGAGAAAGCTATAGAAGATAAAATGTACGCAGTAATCATATTCCAGAACATTGAAGGTGCTGGTCTATTGAACAGCACTTTCAATGTTCTATTATTTCAATATTGTGATTAGTTTAATTTGTTCTAATATTTTATTATTATTACTTTTTATTAATCATCACTAGTAACACGTTTTTTAAAAAATATTTAATTTTGACCGCACCTAAAATAAATTACTTGCTGTTTAATAGGTATAATTTATTTAGTAAATTAAGCAATTAATTAATTTAATTATTTAACTTTAAGAATAAAATTTAGACAAAAGTTTTTATCTGACATTCGGATTTATTCTTATGCAAATAACGAATAAAAGCTGTATTTTTTTTATTTAATACAAATTCAAAACTCTGTTTAGAAACATTGCTTTAATATTTTTTTATTCTTGTTTTAAAATGTTTAATACATGTAATTCATTTAAAAATAATTCCGCACTATAAATTGCTCAAGTGTAGTAGCAACCGATAAATACGACTCAAATTATTAATACACTATACGTTTTATTATAGTTTATTGTAACAATTCAGCATTTGTTTTTTGATGTGTTTTAACTTGTTATGCTTGTAAAGAAACATTTTCTGAAAATAGAAAAAAAAAATTTGACAGTTTGTTGTAAGAATAGCGTGTGTAAAAAATGTTATGACGCCAAATATTCGCAGAGTTTACTGAGAAATTATAAAATGTGCCCATGTTGTGAGGAATGTAGTAATAGTGTTAATTATATTTCAAATATATTATATAAGTTTGAGCGTTGAGACGATTATTTGATAAAACTAAGTTACAATAAAATTTATAAAAAAAAGTATATCAAATGATAGGTAATGATATCATACATCTATAAAAGAAATTATATTGATTTGGTCATTTTTGAAAAAGTTATGGCAGTTTTAAGTAAAAAAAATTGAAAAAATTTCGAAAATTAACGATTTTTAAATTTGTTACTGTTTTGGAGATTTTATTTACGGGGAATGAGGGAATTTTTTTCAATTTTTGAGGGTAATGTCTTTGTCTAGATACATTTTTGAATAGTAACTATATATTTATATAACTTATAAAATAGAAAATTATCTAATTAAGAAAATGACTGGTCAATAATAAATTTTGGCCCAGTATCTCGTAAGTTATTAACAATTTAAAGTATTGACTGGAAGTGGGTAGATATAAAAATGAGAATAATATCTTAAGTACTGATCTAAAAGTCGTTATCGACCAGTCATTTTCATAAAGAGGCAATTTTCTATTTTATAAGTTAATCAAATATGTATGTTACCATCAAAAATAGTAAACTTGACATTCCTATATGTTATAAAGGATGATCCTAAAAAGTATTTAATAGCTAATAAATCAAGAAATATATGTAACTAAAAAAAGTAACTTTTTTTTTTTAATATTCTATTTATTTTGAGAGTAATCGAGTGATTTATAATAAATCCATATATATAGTTATAATTTCATATTTGACAATATACACGTTATTATTTTTTTAAGTAAATAGAATAAAATAAAATAAAAAATATATGTAAATAACATCAGTTTTAAGACCAACACGCAAAGTTTAAATCTAAAAATAAAGTTATTGATATATGCGTAAATAGTATCTGACATTTTTATTTAAAACATTGCCCATTTGGTTTTTAGACAATCAATTCTGTGCTTAATCTTTAAAATTAAAATTTTATTAATTAAAATTTTTTTTTGAATTACCTGCTAAAATAATCTATAATAACTGATTAAATTTTAAACTTACTTAAATAAAAATATTTTTGATAAAAAATGGTAAGTATGTTCGTAAAAAGCATACTTTTATCTCAGACATAGTTACAATTTGAATGTCAGTGTAATAAAAGTTTTTATAAATTTTACTTAAGAAAATCGCCAACAATGTTTTAAAAAACTGCTAAACCTGAAATCCTTTTCTTCTATAATTAAAAAGTTTTTAATTATTTTTTCAGAAAACATCTATTTCATTAATATTAATAACATTGGTGTATTTCTTAATACAATCAGCAGGTAATAGAAAACATATTATTTTTATATTCATCATAATTAATTTTATAACTAAATTAATTAAATAAAAGTTTTATATTTAATGTAATTTTCAAATGACCCACATATCTTTTCAAAATTTGCTATTTGATACATGATTCAATAATATAATTTATTTTTAAAAAACATCAACAGTAAATTTAGTTTATTAAAAATTATTATTGTTATTTTTTATTAGGAGTTTCTTCACTTCCTGGTAAGTAATAGATATTGACACGACTTACGTCGCAATAATGTAGTAGACACTGGTTTTGAGGGTAGAGACCGTTTAATAATGAGCAACAACGGGTTATTAAAAAAAAAAACAAACAAACAAACCGAAAAGACGACACACAATTAATAATAATCTTCGCATAGTATCGTGGCACTTTCGCTGGCGTCAGCAAAGCGGTGTCCGGCTTGATCATCAGCGTCAAAAAGTTAGCAGCGTTGATGGCGACGGTGTGCGGATGCGAATCGGTTCGTCGAGTTCGGTCGTGCAGCAGCACGTCCGGAGCCGGTGGCGTACATATTGACGTTGTTACTTTGACAACGGGAAAAAGACACCACATATCGCTTGCGGCGGGTCGTCGTAGGCCGCGTGGCACTTGTTGGACTTTACACCGTGGCGTATGGCACGCGGTGTTGGTGAGTCAAATATTAATAGAAGGGCGACGGCTGATAAAGGTCGCAGGAATCGCGGGGCATCGTGTACCACGAAGCGACGCGGGACCGTGTCAATATAAATAAAATTTTCTTATCATAAGTATACTTAGCATTTCAAAATTATTTTTTACTTATGATTTATATTTATATGTATAAAAGTTCTTGATATTAAAAGTCTATAGTGCTATTATTGTGACTCGTAATCTATAAATATTGCTATTTCTAAAAAAAATTCTGTCTCGCACTAATTTGGCCATTCATTTTATATTAATTAATGTTGTTATTACATAGGAATTTCTGAATGGTTCAGCAGCAATATTAATGGTATGTTCATTATATTAACAATGCTAAAAAATAAACTATCATATTTACAATGATGGCCACGTCATGTAAAATATTTTAAACTGATTTTTTTAAACGTTATAAAAAAACTAAAACTATGTCATATAAAAATTAAATATATTATTATTGTTTTTTTTTTTTTTTTTTTNTTTTTTTTTTTTTTTTTATTTATTTGAGCCACAACAACAAAGATTATTGGCTTACAATATTGTGGAGGGATTGTCACATTGAGGTTAAATTGAGTTACATTAGTTTAAATTAGATTGTATATGTTGGTTAGTTTTAAAAATTTTAAAATTTTATTCACGTTTTCTGGTTCGGGACCTAGTGCTTGCTGGAGATTGTCAGCTATTTCCAGACTGTCTTTGGTGTTTTTGTATTTCCGGCAGTTGCAAATGATATGTTTGATGGTAAGTGCTTCTCCACAGGTGTGGCATTGTTCGGGATCGGTTTTTGACATAAGGTGTTTATGGGTCAACCAGGTGTGGCCGATGCGTAATCGGTTTAGGATTACTTCATGTCTTCTGGGGAGATATGTAGTTGGCCATGGGGATATTGAGGGCGTTATCTCGTTGAGTTTAGTATGCCTTGTTTGCCACATGTGTTGCCATTGATTTGTTAGAGTGTTGTTTATTATTTTTTTACTGTCACTCAGGGTATGGATATTAATTTGCTGTGCATCGAACGAGGTAATGGCTTGTTTAGCGTATGTGTCTGCTAGTTCGTTTCCATGAATTCCGACGTGGCTTGGGATCCAGATCATAGTTATGGACTGCGAGTTAATTTCTAGTGACGATACTTGATTTTGGATCTTTCTGATAATGTCGTTAGGTTGATGATAGTTTTGAATGTTGGTTAGTGTGCTTAGGGAGTCACTGAGTATGATGGATTTAGTTATTTTCTTTTGCTTGATGATATCGAGAGAGTGAGAGATTGCGATAGCTTCAGCGGTAAAAGTTGAGCATGAGTCGGGGATTTTAATCATTATTTTATTTTCGTTGTATATCACCGAAGCTCCTACTCCTTCTTCCGTTTTGGACCCGTCAGTGAAGAACATTGTGTGCTCTTTGTAGTCTTCAAGTAATGATTGTAGTTCACTTTTGTATATTTTGGGTATAGTTTTGCTTTTGGGTAAAACTGACAGTGAGAGGTTTACATTTATATTTAAAATCCATGGTGGGATTGTGAGATTTTCGTGCTTAACGACCCCGGGTAAGCCGATTGATATATTTTGGAGTTCATTTTTATTGTTTCGGTGTATCTTGAGGTTATTTTGTATTCGCCTTATATAGAAGAGTAATGAATTTTTTTTTCTTATTAAATGTATTGGAGGGGTATTGGTGATGTTGTATAGACTGTAGATGGGGCTGGATCTGAATGCTCCAGAGACTAGTCTTAATCCGGAATTGTGTATTGTTTCAATGGTTTTGAGCTGAGATGGTTTGGCATTTATGAAGAGAAAGGAACCATATTCGAGCTTAGATAGTAAGAGGGATTTATATATTTGTTTGAGAGATATTGAATTAGCTCCCCATGAGGTATGTGCAAGTGCTTTGAGGGTGTTAATTCTTGTAGAGGACGCTTTACGTAATTCTTTTAGGTGTGTGTTCCAGGTATTTTTACAGTCGAATTTGACGCCTAAAATCTTTATGGTCTTACAGGTTGCGATTTGTAGATTGTTGATCATTAGTTGTAGTTTCTGATATTTTTTGAAGCGGGTAAAGGTGATACTCTGAGATTTTGTAGCAGAGAAGCGGAAACCAGAAGAAGCCGACCATTTTTCTAGTGAATATAGTGCGTCTTGTATTATTGGTTGTACACTGTTTGTATTTCTCCCTCGGCACCATATGGTTAGATCATCAGCAAAGAGAGTGTAGTTTACAGGAAATTTGATGGATTCGCATACGTCGTTGATGGCTAAGAGGAAGAGGGTGACAGAAATGGTGGAGCCTTGGGGGACGCCATTTTCTTGGTTAAAGGTTGATGAGAGGTGACCGGCGGTTTTGACTTGGAAAGTTCTGGCTGACAAGAAGTGGATAATGAAATTAAGCATGTTCCCATGACAGAGTATTTTGTGTAATTTTTCTATTATTCGTGGGCGCCATGTGGTGTCATATGCTTTTGCTATGTCAAGAGCTACTAGACCTAGTACTTGTTTGGCTTCGAGTGTTTTTGAGATGTCCTCGTGTATGTCGTGTAAACTATTATATGTGCTTCTATGTTTGCGAAAACCATTTTGATGAGGAGAAAAGTGATTTGTTTTTTCGAGAAACCATCTAAGTCGTATATCTATAATCTTTTCTAAAATTTTACACATTGTGTTTAATAACGATATAGGTCTGTAACCTTCAGTCGAGAATTTGTCCTTTCCAGGTTTTAAGATAGGTATGACAATAGCGTGTTTCCATTCTTTGGGGATTTGACCGTTTTCCCATATTTTGTTGTATAGGTTAAGTAAGAATTGTGTTGCTGAAGTTGGTAGATTGTGTATAAAGCTGTATGGAATTTCGTCGGGTCCGGGAGAGAGGCTTGAACATTTAGATAGTGCCAAGTTGAATTCAGTTTCGCTAATTGGTGTGTTGAGGTATTGTTGGTCTTGATGTGTTGGGTCGATGTTTGATTGGAGATGTTGTTGTCTATTTGAGATGTTTTTATTTATGAATGAGTCGTCAAAATTATTGTCCGAACTGTTTAGGTAGAAGTGGTTTCCTATTAGGTTGGCTACTTCGATAGGGTTTGTGTGTAGGTTGTTGTCTTTTACGATATGGAGTTGTTTTTCTCTGATGTATCCTCGTAGAGATCTTACTTTGCTCCAAACCGTGCTGGGGTCACTTTTGGGTCCTATGGTTGAAGTAAATTCTTTCCAGGACTTTTTTTTGCTGTTTTTTACTAAGAATTTGGTTTTTGCTCGGAGTTGTTTGAGTTTTATGTGGTCTTCAATCTTGCCGGATTTTTGGAATATTTTTAGCGCGTCGTTTTTGTTTTTGATTGATAATTTGATTTCAGAATTCCACCAGGGGACTTTGTTATTGATGGGTGAAAAGTTGGTTTTTCCTATTGAAACGTTGGCCGCGTTTATAATGGAGCGTGTTATGTGTTTCACATCGGATACGATTGGACCGGTTATGGGAGGAGGATTGGTGGTTATATATAAATCTGTCAATTGTGTGAAAAGTTCCCAGTTGGCATTTTTTAATTTCCATCTATGATGTGATGTTTTGGGTAGCATTTTGCTTGATAGTAATTCTATTTTGATAGGTATGTGATCGCTGTCGTATATTTCGGGTAGAGTTGACCATATGGTTCGTTGGGCTAATGACGCGCTGCATAATGAGAGGTCTATCGTTGAAAAGGTTCCGTTGGCTGGGTTTAGTCGTGTGGGTTCGCCATTGTTTAATAGGATGATGTTGTCGATTTCGAGGATTTTTTCGATTTGTTTACCTCTATCATCGATTTTGTCAGACCCCCAGTATGGGCTGTGGCTGTTAAAGTCCCCCAATATATAGAAAGGGGTTGGAAGTTGTTGGATTATGTGTTCTATGTCGGAGGCTTCAAATTTTTTTTGATTCGGTATGTATATATTGCATATTGTAATTTTGGTCTCTAGTTGTATGGTTACGGCTACCACTTCTAATGAAGTTTGGATTGGGATTTGTGCACTGGGAAATTCTGATTTAGTTAATATAGCGACTCCTCCGCTTGCTCGACTGCAGTGTGTTCTGTTAGAGATGTATGTGTTGAAATTCTTTGTGTGAGGTGTGTAGTTGTCATTTAAGTTTGTCTCTTGAAGACATATAATGGTTGGATTGTGGATTTGGTTTAGTATTTTAATATCGTTGATTTTTTTAACAAGTCCATTTATGTTCCACTGTATGATATTTACGCTCATCACTTTTATTTTTGTTTTTAATTTGTGTATATATAAGGCATGCTAATAAGTTTGTATCGTGGTGTGTGCTTAGTTTGATGAAACTAGTTGGGCTTGGAAGAGAAGATTTGAAAGTTTGGTTAAACGGCTTTTTAATGAACGGTCGTTAACCAGAGGCCGAATGTGATCTATTATGTCCATTAAAGATGTGATGTCTATATTTGCCTCTTCGGTGAGTGAATGGATGTTAAGGGATTTATTTGTAAAGTTGTCAAGTATATATATAAATTGGAGGTAAGACATAGGTAGATTTTCACTTTCTGTAAAGAATTTTTCTATCGGTTTTTTATTTTCATCCGTAGTTGTGTTGTCTACGCTGTTAACTGAATTTGATCTGGAACGAATTTTGGCTTTCTTAATTATTTTTTCTTTTTTTACCATGGTGTTTGCGGGTATATGATCATTTGGAGAATCTGGAGGTTTTAGGGACGATGCATCGGAGATTGGTCTTTTGTAAGTATCCTTTTGTGTTAACTTTGAGGGGAGTTCATCATAGTTATCGGATAAAGGAGGTGCCTCGGGAGTGGTTTCTAAGGACCAATCCGTGATTGTCTGTACCTGATTTCCATCGAGATGAGAGTTGGAGGTTAAGGAATATGAATCATCTTCTGTAGGTATTGGCTGTGTTTTTTTGGTGTTGTAGATATCATTAGTAAAATTAGTGTTGATTATAGGTTCAATAGTGGAGTTTTTTTCGGAATTTTTTTTGCAGTTATTGGATGTGTGCCCAACCGCTTTGCATAAAAAACAGGTTAATGTGTCGTCCGAAAAGAATATTCTAAATTGGTTATCATTTTGGGAGATTAGCATAGAGCTGGGCAGTTTGGGTATATCTTCATGGTTAATATATACTTGTCTGCGAAAGCTCATGATGTGTTCGTAGCCTTCCATATTGATACCGGCTTTTAGGTGATTAATCTGTGTTGTAGGATTTATATTTATAAGTTTTAATGCGTCCAATATTGCCCGGTTGGGGATTGACGGACATACGTTGGATATAACTACGCGTTTGGTCGGGTTAACCAGTCTGCGTATTTGAATTAATTGGTCATTGATTTTTATAGTTTGTGTTTGTTGCATTAGGTTGTCAAGGACTTGTTTACTGGATAAAAATATACAGAAACGTTGGTTTGAGATACGCGAAATGAAAATGATGTTTATAGGTTTAACTATTTTACCAATGGCTAATATGTACTCAATTTGAGGTATTCCATCAATAGAATTAAAAACTATCGCTTGTTCTCTGCTCGGAGTGTTTTCCGTTGCAGTCACCGTAGCGAAGTTCATGCCGGTATTTGTGTGAATAGACGTGGGATTAATCGAGTGTACAGTTGAAGATTGAGAATCGTTATTGTGTGTTAATTGACTTGCGATATCGGCTGAAACTGATGTGTTATCGGTGGAACGGACATACGTGGTCTGGTGTTTATACTTAGACGGCGAGTCGGGTGGGGAATGGTTGATAGACGAGTTTGACAATCGCAAACTTTTGTCGTGCAATGTCATGGCTGATTTAGAGTTGAGTTTGTTCGGTTGATATGATTTTGTAGATGATGTATTGATATTTTTTATTATAGGTGTTGTATTTTTTTTATTTGAATTGTTGGAGGTGAGAAGTTTGGTTGTNTGTTAGAGGTGAGAAGTTTGGTTGGTAGAGATGAGTTGGTTTTGGGCGAACCGCCCGAGGGAGATCTATTCATGTCGACTATGAATATTGGTGCGCGTTGTGTAAAGCGATTAAATTGTTAAATAATCATAATACCTGTGGACACCAGCCGTGGAGTAGGTATGTGCTATCGGAAGCTATAAAAACGTTATCTTAGAGCACACGTGTTGTACTGTCGGCGGTAGAACACGAACTGTATTATTGTTTTATTCATCATTATTAGTTAGGAACCAAATTAATTTAATTAAATGTTCTATGGTTAATATAATTATTAAATAACTCATATATCTTCTCAAAATTGATTCTGGGTACATGATCCAATAATACAATTTTTTCTTAAAAAGAAAATTGACAGAAAATTTAATTTATTAAATAAATTATAATTTTTATTGTTATTTTTGATTAGGAGTTCCTTTAATTCCTGATAAGTAATAGTTATAAATAATATTTTCTTCTCACGAGTATATTTCATATTTAGCGATGCTATCTTATTTATGATTTAGTTTTACATGTAAAAAAGTTCCTATTATTTAAAAAACTATATTGCAATTATTTTGACTTGTATTTTATAAATATTGCTACTTTGAAAAAAAAAAAATCAGTTTCATGCTAATTTGGACATCTATCATATAGTAATTAATATTGTTATTATACAGGAATGCCAGGCGACAGTGAAAGTGATGATGGTATGTGTCACTATTTAAACAACGCTAAAAAATAAACTATCATATTTACAATGATGGCCACGTCATGTAAAATATTTTAAACTGACTTTTTTTAAACGTTATAAAAAAACTAAAACTATGTCATATAAAAATTAAATATATTATTATTGTTTTATTCATCATTATTAGTTAGGAACCAAATTAATTTAATTAAATGTTCTATGGTTAATATAATTATTAAATGACTCATATATCTTCTCAAAATTGATTCTGGGTACATGATCCAATAATACAATTTTTTCTTAAAAAGAAAATTGACAGTAAATTTAATTTATTAAATAAATTATAATTTTAGCTTCGATGCGAAGCTGAGAAGGTATTAATTTTACCATGATGTGTTTTTTTTTTTTTTTATGTCTGTTGCCACTTCTTCTCAGCTCTCACTGGACCGATTTTTTTCAACAATACGTCAAAAGATCACAAATCGTATCTAATTGAAGACTTTACCGTTAAAAATTGAAAAATTTTCCCTCGTTCCCTGCAAATGGGGGAAATATCCAAAAAAATTACAAATTTAGAAATCGTTAAATTTTGTCATTTTTTGAATTTTTTTTCTTAAAACTTCCATAACTTTTTCAAAAATAAACAAATCAACATAATTTTTTTTTATACTAAAACCTTAGATAGTTCCCTTTCATTTGATATCATTTTTTTTGAAAATATAACACTTAACCTGCTCATTGGGGGGGATTTAAAATAGCAACTTTTTTTAATGTTATTTTTGATTAGGAGTTCCTTTAATTCCTGATAAGTAATAGTTATAAATAATATTGGTAGGGGTACCCGGGTACGCCGGGCACGATAAGTATTTTGCAAAAAAAATATTACATCAGAATCAGTGTAACAAAAATATATTAAAATTGTATTATTAAAATCAGGAAAATTCATAAAGAAAATATAGTAAAATGTATTGGGTATAAGGTTGACGTTTGTTAATGAGGTAGTCCCTTTAGGCCTATTCAAAAATTATTTTAGGAGGGTATTTATTATATTTTAAATTGTTAAACATGCTATAGAAATTTTTTTGCTAAAAATCAAAGTAATAATGAAAAAAATGGACATTAGATCCTTATTTATTAGAAGTTGCCTAAAAAAATATTGATAGCGCTGGTTCAAGGGGGGCCCATATATCCCTTAAATACACCCCTGGTATACACAAAAATTATTAATATACTAATTATAATAATTACAAAAAAATTCAGCAGGTTATTATACGTGGGACTATGTATAAAATTTAATTATGATAAAAATATTGATAACTGCGATTTAACTTTGGATATCATAGTTTTCATAGATGAATTCCAATTTAAACAATAAACTCATAGACTCATACATCATATATGAGAAAAAAAAGATTATTAATAATGTACTGTTCTGATAATGAAAGTACAAACTTATATATTTATAACCGTCTTGAAATTTATATATAACATACAATATTCCTCAATAAAAAATATATATAAAATATAATGCTATGTGCAAATTCAAAATAGTGTCCTTATAAAAATACATATTACACCATATAATTAAGATTCAGAATAAACGTATGAGCAGAAATGAGTCAATGCGCATATTAAAACCATGTGCGTAGACTTAAAGAAAAAAAAGCTCGTAAAACGATGAAAATTGTATTGATTTTTTTATCATATCTCAAGAATTTTATTGGGCGGGTCTGGTGAAAATTTCAAACCTTAAGTCGTAAACGCTGGCGTCAGCGAGCGTTTTTCTCAAAATCTGTCGAAATTTTAAAACGCTCGCTGGCAAAAATTTTCCGACCTTCGCCAATAATTTTCCCGGAGTCTGGTGACCGAGTACTATCGTTGAAAAAAGAAATTTTAAATCTGAGCACGCTAAGTAATTTTTCCAGAAAAGCGTTTTTTTCTTTATTCTATTATATAATAAGATATTTAAAAGGATGGCCAAGTCATGAATAATGTTAGAGGGTTTTTTTAACGTCATCCAAAAACGAAAAAAATATCTATACATTATTATATAATATATTTATTTTATATTTGTATGCAAATCAAAGGAGTCTGTCTGTTTAATTATTATTGTAATGAGTTATGTTTATAAATTTTTAATGTTAAAATATTAACATATTGAAAGTTACATTAAATACATTTTTTACATACAGTGTAATATAAAAAACTACACATTTTGATCGATTATATAGGAAATTACAAATTTAGTATTAACACAAATCTTGGATGCATCAATTCAATAGAAGATTTGATAATAAGCAGTGGCGGATTTTTAACATTCATCTGGGAGGGGGTCCTGAAAAATAATATAAATAGTAAAAAAGTATTAAATTTATTTAAATAAAAACATATGTAAACTGTATTTTCATTTTTATTTTCAATTATAAATAATACATATATTATAAAAAAAATCAAGCCTTCTTTTTTTTTTATTGAGTTCGGCTAAAACTTCTTCAATAGTTAAATAATTTTCATCTCTATGGATTGACATTATAGCTTAGCCGTTTAGCCTAGCCTGAAATTAAAATTAAAATACTTTTAAATTTATTCTACGTAAAATTTATTTATTTATTTAATTTTTTTTTAATTTAATGAATCTATTATTTTTACCTCGGTCATAGTATTTCTTAAATATGTTTTGATTCGCTTCAGATTAGAGAAAGTGCGCTCATTTGATGCAGTAGAGACTGGTAGAGTAACTAGGATCTGAAGAAGTTTAAAGACACTTGGATACATTTCTTTGTAGTAAACTATCATAGCTTGTAGAGAATTTTCGGTTTTTTCCATGTTTTTTAATCTTCTTTGTCATAAGTTGTATTCAATAGATAATATCGAATGATTAATGAACTCCAGATCATCTTTGTAGTCGTCGGCCAATTGAATAAATTTGTCTTCATTTTCTTCTGAATCGAACAATGACTGAAAAATATTAAACTTAATCTTATGATTGGCAAATCTTTGTTCAAGTTCAGTTATATAAGAATCCATGTACGGAATAAATATAGATGTACGGTAGTATTCTTCTGTAGATTTTGTTTGAATATTAATTCTATGCACTTGTCTTCCTATAACTCTAGGCATTGTTATTTCTACTTGAAATTTTCCAGCTAAATCAAGCGCAGCTGTTTATATTTGTTGAAATGTTTTTTCAGCGTTATTTCTGAAACTTTTAATTTCTTCTAAAGTTTCATCAGCTAATCTAATCGCTATTTTTAAATCAATATCAACTTTTTGCAAATGTTTTGATAATGGTAAACCAAATCCAAAACCTTTAGATAATATAAATAATGCAATAACAAATTCTCCATCTAACATTGATTTTTGTAAGCGTTGTGCTTTTCCATTTGTATCATTATCATTCCACTTTGATATTTCACCGAAAGACTCTATAATAAATTTAAAAAGTTCTAAAAAATCATGCACCGAGTGATATCGTTCAATCCACCATATTGCGCAACTACGCTTTAGTGTTTTTTTTGTTGTGTCATGTGGAGAATCTAAAATTTTTTGTGATAAAACATTTTTTCGTTTAGGGTAAATGAAAAAATCTCGAATTTCGTTTATAAGACTTAAGCAATCCGTAATTGGTCGCACACTACATGACTTGGAAATAACAAGGTTTAAAATATGTCCAGAACAATGAACATAAATCGCAGACGGATAAATTTGTCTTATGTGAGATTGAACACCGTCATATCATTGTCTGCGCAGGAATTTAAGTTCTACATCATATTGTTTGAGACTTTCTATTATTAAGTTTGCCAAAGCTTTTCCAGTTGTATCGTGAGTCGGTACAAATTGTAAGAACTCTTCACAAATTACAAATTTATTTAAATTAACAAATCTGACACAGATAGAAATTTGTTCCACGCCCGAAATATCGACTGTTTCATCAGCTAGTATGAAGAAACATTTAGCATCATTTACACGTGATACGATTTTTTCGAGTAATACTGAATTACAAGATTCTATAATAGCATTTTGACTTGTCTTGCTTGTATACTTAATAGTTCTTTCACTTTCTAAAAACATCTTTATGTTAGAATCTCCTTAAGCACGAAAACGGGAATTTCTCGAAAATTTCCTTCGTTATTTTCTAAGTTATCAATTACTAGACGACCATCATCGCGATGACCCCGTAAAGAAATGTTCTGACGTCCACATAAAATTATAGCATCAATTATTGGTTTAATTTTGTTTCTGTTATCTGCAATTTATTTGGCCCTTCCAGTATCTAATTGTTGTTCAATAGACGAACTTGGGTTTTTTAAAATATTTGAAAAATGATTAGCATCAAGAATACATTTTTTGTGGTATTCTAGGGATGAGTGTTTGGTAAATGTTTCGATAGAATGTTTCCAATTATTAAATTTTTTTAACACAAGACTATCTAGTACTTTAGAGTTCAGACCACCATGAGATTTTGAAAACGCTATACAAAATTTCCAAAATGCACCATCTTGTATCGCTGAATACGACAACCAAAGAAATCGTATTAACCATGAGTATTGAAATTTAAGGTTTTTACATTTTTTTATTTTCCAGAAGTATTTAATGTTATCGGAAATTTATAATTTATTTCCGGTTTCCAGATGTTATTCAATACGTCATTAATTTCATGTTGTGAAAGTATTTTATTACAAAATAAACCGATATCATAATTACTATAAGTTAAGGATAAAGACGAATTTGAAGAATCTTGGTTAATTTTCTTTGTACTACATTCATCAATGGGAGAACTAGTCTTTTAGATGTTTCGTTTTTTTCTAACGTATTAGTATGAATAACATGAGAAGTTTCAGAAGGTTAAAAAAAAAAGTATTGAATTGACGCTTGTTTTTTCGATGCCATTTTTATTCAAATAGAAATAACTTAATTCTAAGTATTCACTTTTAATTTTCCGTAATAATTTTGTTTATTTGTAGAAATAGAGTGTAGCAATGTCAACTGCTGACGGTCAAATGAGATAAATTTTTTTAC